GTTTGCGATTGAGCACGCCGATGATCGCAACAGGATTATTTGCCCCTGTCTTAAGTGTTGCCTTTTGAAGTGGGTTTCGCCATCCGATTGTGAGAGCCACTTAATTATCAATGGAATTGATCAAAGTTACAAGTGTTGGACAAAGCACGGAGAGACAAGAGATGTGAGTAATAGTAGTCGAGGGCATAGTGAAAGCTGTGGATCATCTAATCTTGACATGAGTACATGTAAAGCTGATCGTCTTGAGGAGATGACAGATGTGATTGAACGGGAACTTGACGATTGTCCTAAAATGTTTGATAGATTGAAGTGTGATGCTGAGACACCTCTATATGAAGGTTGTACTGATTTCACAAAATTGTCTGCAGTGTTGAAACTGTATAATTTGAAAGCAAGAAATGGGTGGAGCGACACAAGCTTCACAGAACTGCTGTTGCTTGTTAAACAAATGCTACCGAAAGAAAATGAGCTTCCAAGTAAAACGTATGATGCAAAGCAAGTGTTGCGCTCTGTCGGCCTCAGCTATGAGAAGATACATGCTTGCCCCAATGATTACATTTTGTTTAGGAAGGAGTATAAGTCACTAACTGAGTGTCCTAAGTTAATGCATCACGCTACCAAGAGAATGGGAAGAGCCCGAAGAAGGCATTATGGTATTTTCCCATAGTGCCAAGATTCAGACGCTTGTATAGTAATGTAGAAGATGCGAAAAATTTAAGGTGGCATGCAGATGAAAAAGTTAAAGATGGCATGCTTCGCCATCCTGCTGATTCTCCAGAATGGAAGAAGTTTGATATTGAGTATCCTGAATTCGGGGAAGAAGATAGAAATCTACGCCTTGCATTAGCCACCGACGGGATGAACCCTTATGGGATGCAAAGCAGCACCCATAGCACATGGCCAGTAATTTTGTTTATATATAACCTTCCTCCATGGCTATGCATGAAACGCAAGTATTTAATAATGTCTATGATAATATCTGGGCCAAAGCAACCGGGAAATGACATAGATATATATCTAGCTCCATTAATTGAAGACTTGAAAGTATTGTGGGAGAATGGAGTTGATGTATATGATGCATATAAGGAAGAAAAATTCAAGTTGAGAGCTATGTTATTTGGCACAATTAACGACTTCCCTGCGTATGGTAATCTCTCAGGGTATAGCATTAAAGGACAACTTGGTTGTCCCATTTGTGAAGAGAGCACAGATTCCATAAGGTTGAAGCATGGAATGAAAAATTCATATATGGGACATCGTAGATGGTTGCATCGTGATCATCCTTACTGGCGATTCAAAAAATATTTTAATGGGAATTCAGAAGAAGGTAAGGCACCAACACCGTTGATTGGGGAGGATGTATTTCAAAAGGTGAAAGATATAGATTGTGAATTTGGAAAACCTTTCGCGAAGCATGTTGGGACAAGTGGGTAGAAGAAGAGGTCTATTTTCTTTATACTGCCGTATTGGATAATGTCACACCTTACTATAATATTGACTTAGGTTCCTTTCAAAATCATTTTTGACCACATTGGATGGTCTTGGGCTCACTTTTTACCATAAAAACGCTAATTTTCGGGTTTTTACTGTTCATCGGGTAAAAATCCAGTTTTTCTGGCCCAAATTCAAAAATTCATAACTTATTCTAAAAAAATCCAATTTGGGTGGTTCAAAATTCTACTTAAAGCTCTTTAAGTCCTCTTTCAAGGAAAAATAATCTCATTGTCCAATTATTTATGAGAAAGCGTCAGGTTTTTGAGAAAACAACACTGTCCATTTGCCAAAAACCCTGATGTCCAGATTCTGACCATTAACTTTGAAAAATTATTATAAATCGTATACTGGTCCATTTTTAACGTATTAGCTATCAATTTGAAGCTCAAGATGTCATCTTTCATCATGCCAAATTTCACGATTTAAAGCATTCGGGAACATAATCAAAAAGTCACGTGAACCGGTCAGGGTCAGTGTGCTTCCAGCACTGTTAGTTTAATATTTACATAACCAAAATAAGCTCACGAATTTTGTGGCTAAACTCCACAATTCAACCTTCAATCTGCAGCTTCCCTTTTGAAGATTCAGGCCCTAAAATGTTACATGATTCTTGGGGGATGAGATTTTTGGAAATCCCAGTAGTAAATTAACCAACTATATCACAAGCAAGCATCATTATTATGCATGATCACATTAGCTACTATGGATGAACTAACATGCTTATCATTTGGCAAACTCAATCATGCAAAGGCCAAAGCAAGATACTATAAAGAGCAGCCACATAACAATCAAGAGAGCTCAATCACAATAATAGCAAGTAACCATACAATAATCAACAATGCTAGTTAGTGGTAGTAGCTAGGTTTAACTTACTACCTTGCTTCAAAAGTCTTAGCCTTTCTTCCTTCTCCTCTTTCCCTTGGCAAATATCAAACCCTAACCATGTGATTCAACAAAAATGGCAGCAAGAATCATTATCCAACCATGAAAAAAACAAGAACATACATCAAAATGATTCTTGAACCATAAAGTTCCCTCCTTTGTTCACTAGTTTTAGATTTGGTTCTCTTTAACCCTAAAAATCACTCCTTGACTTGTTCCTACATGGATTTTCATGTAGATTCCAAAAATGGGCTTAGATTTGTGTAAATAAAACTGATTCTTCCAGCCACAAACCGACCAAACCACTAGAGGTTTTGACCCAAAATTTTCAGCTTTGCTTTTAGGCTTCCAACACTTGTTTCTTTTAGTCTACCCTACACCATTCCTCATTTTAAGCATTATGGAAGCCTTAAAACAATGAAAAGCTCATCCTAGGGTCTAGTTCTTCACTTGGCCGAAAATAACTCTCACAACAACAACCATGAAAAATGCTTTAAAATCACTTAAACTCACTTGCCAACACTAGGATCTAGCTTGTGTTGTTGTGTCTTAGCAAGTGTTATGATCAAAACTTCTTTCCCCTTTTTATTAATCAGTTTGGTCCACATTAAGAGAGGGAAGAGACAGATTTTAAACCATAAAAATGAAAGAAACCAAAGCAAGAACACTTCTAGGACCAAGATCTAACCTTGAAACCTTGCTAGGATGATCAAAAGTGCTCCCTTTCTCCTTCAAGAGCTTGACACATGGCTCAATAGGATCCCTTGGATTTGCAAGACACCAATCTTGCTTTATCGGTATACTTTAGGCTCTGAGTTTAACTTCTTTTTTATAATTACAGTAACTTAGTCTCTGTAATTATTTTCTATCAGATCCTTAATTTATTCTCCTCATTATTGTCTTCCCAAATTGTCCTCTTTGTCTCAACATTAATTTCCTAATATTTAAATAAAAAGGAAAATTAATTTCCTTCTCTTTAGGGATTTTTCCACTTTTCACATTTATTTGGAAAAATCTTGGACACTTGAGGGTTTCCATTTAATTCCATAATTCCTTATAATTCCTTGGGATCTCATAGGAATTTTCTTGGAATTTTATTCCTCTTAAAATATTTATTTGGAATTTTCCAAATAAAATCCCTCAATTAGCCTAAATCACCCTTAAATTCTCTTATAATTTCTCTAAGGGTAATTTAGTCATAAAACCAACTTTATAATTTCATATAACTCTCAAAGGATATTATCCCTATTTTTCCTTAATTTTTCATGGCTCGAAAATATTTTTCCTTATTTACATTTGACCAATTTTCTTTAATTAGTCAATTTCCTATAATTGGCTTGGAAAATTACTGTAATTATTTTCCACCAAAATTCTTTGACTTTTCCTTATTACTTTTAATCCTCAATAATTTGAGAATATTTCTTGTCTCCAATTATCAATAATTTGGGAAGGCTGGGAGGGCACTACGCTCTTTCTGATATTTTGTCACACACAAGTACTTGAAGGATCCTTCCACAGCCGACGAGTCCCAGGTTCCTAGCTTGATATGGAACTTGGTCAAACTAGAGGATTGGGCTGCTTTTGTGACGTCATGTCGTGATAGGCAATTTCAAGTAATAATCCTCGCTCTTTTTGATATTAAATAGTCCATTTTGTTTAATCTATATATTGTTTAATTGTGAATCTACTTTGTTTTTGCAGGAATTAAGTTCCCAAAATAAGGAAAGAGTAAAGAAGAATGAGTATCCCTACCGAAAGGGCCGCTTGGGTTATGCGGGCCTTGAGCAAGAGGTGACTCAGCAGGAGGGATCAGATGTCACTGTATCACGTCAGATGCTGTGGGCACTGGCCAGGCAAAATAAAGATGGCCAAATTGATAATCCTCGCATTAAGGAGGTCGTGGACAGGATGGTGAGTATTATTCTAAATTAAATAATCTTCACGTTATTGTCAAATATCTTTAAGTATGAATAACTATATCAATGTTTGTTGCACAAGAGAGTTTGTCCCAGGAAGTTTCACAGGGGGCATATTCTGCAGATGACCAGGATATATTGAGGAGGGCATTGGGAACTACTGACCATCCTGGTCTTCTTAGGGGTGTTGGTTATGGAGTCACCAAGAGAGATTACTTTGGGTACCGACAAAAGCCCTCTTCATCGTGCACGCCTTCCTCTGCTGAGTTCATGGAGCTGAAGGAAGAAACACGTTGGTTAAAGGAGTAGGTTAAAGTGCAAGCGCTCCTAATCGAGCAGTTGATCAAGAATCAAGCACCACAGCCGGCTCCGAATCTCAGCCCAAGTGGCAAAGACAGTTGCACATTCCCCTTGCTACCTGAGGTATAATACTTGTGTTTATATAATTACATTCAATAATTTATATATCTAGCTAACTTGTCTCTTATGTTAAACAAATCAGGGTGAAGCGGACGTTCAGTGTATGGCGGATAGCCCTAAACATCACACTGTTGCAACGGGCCGCATGTTCAATTTACCGGTGGAGAGTATAATTCATAATGTTCCTCTCCCTGCTGATCATGTGAGGGTGCAGTTGAACACTGCTATTGATGCGAATTATGCCCTCTCGATTCCCACCCCAGATGCAGAGACAGTGGCTCAAGCAGTAGGTAGCTTTGTCGCTTGGCCTGGCCGTCTTCTTACATTAGGACATCCTTCAAAGGTATATATGTATAGGTCTACAAATTCAGCTAATTTAAACTAAACTCTATTTTAATTACTAACAGTCTGTTTGTCAGTCTAAGGGGAAGAAGAGCCTATTGGGTGATCACTCATTATCATCACCACAGAAGCAGCCCTCTGAGCCCGTTCAAGTGGTATCATCAAGATTCTGAATATGTCTTGAGGAATATGCAATTGGGGCCAGATTAGAACATGGCGAGGATTTCATGATTCCCCTAGAGTTTGAGCCAGAGGTATACGGTCGACCCTCGTCAGATTATGTCACAAATGAAGTATTGAAAGAGATTCTGACGCATGGAATGGCCAGCACAAATGCCTGTAACTTTTATATCAGGTATTTGTTAAAACCTTAACTAAATACTTAAGTACTTGAACATTTATTCTATTGATATCTTCGTTTGTTGATTTAGATATCTTTTCAAGAACTTCATAGCCCCTGGTGGCCTTGATGACAAGTTCAAGATTATCAGCCCCCACACTTTTGCTGGCCACGGACCTAATATAAAGAAAGACTTATCCAGAGACTTGTTAGATATCTTCATTTCTAGGGCAACACCGGGGGCTCAGACTTTGTTTTTGGCGCCTTATTGTCAAGGGTAAACTTTCCTAAATTCTTTCATTTTTAAAATAATTTGTAATAGTTCTAATTGTCTTTCTTATACTTAGGGGACACTGGATGTTGATTGTGGTCAATCCCACAAAGCCGAGGATTTGGTATCTTGATTCTCTTCATGGGGATCCAACCAATCGACCATTTATGGTTTCATTGTTCAACAAGTAATATTTATCTCTATTATTTAAATTTAATTTAATTTCTTGCTTCAATCAAATTTTTGACAATCATTAATATTCAATTTTATTGTCTTCTCAGGGCTTTGTGGCTATACCACACAAATCAGGCCTTACCCTGCCCCCCGGTAAAAAACAGCCAATTTGACGATACCTTCCCGTGGAAGAAAGTGAAGGTATTCACTACCATGATTTACTATTCTACTAAATATGGTTTATTTATATGATTGACTAATATTATTTCCTTTTCCATTCTTTACAGTGCCCACGTCAGCCCAACAAGAGCTCCCATTGTGGATATTGCGTGATGAAATTTATGAAGGAGATAATTCTGCACAATGCTGACTCAATTCCCACGCAGGTAATATGCATTTGTTAAGGTTCAATTTATATATTTAAGAATTATTGTACTTACTGTAGCTTTACATTTCTATCTAACTTAAGTCATAATTTGTGGTTGCATACAGTACTTTGCCGACACATATTGCACAGTATATTCATCTGCTTAGATGGAAGAAATCGTTGAGGAGTTGGCGATGGCCTTATTCCGTCAGTGGGCACAACATAGATAGGGAAGTGTACATTAAGACAGTGTATGTACGTACAGCTAGCTTTGGTTTCAATATAATTTTGGTTTTGGTTCATTTTTTGCTGTTGGTTAGTTTTAGGCATTGCACAACTTTGGCAATTGGCTAATTTTGGAATTGGTTCTCCTTTTTGTACTTGCCAGAATTTTAATATATCACAGTTGGTTTTCATTGGTTCATGTATATATATGATAATGTAAATTATTTTCGGTTCATTAACATATATGTATATGGCTGAATTGGTTTGAATGCTGGCCTGCATGATTCTGTTGAATGAGCCTTTGTTATCGGTTTCAAAATTGCAGGGGGTTGCTGGCAAAGGAGAACGAATTTTTAAAAAAAAAAACGAATAATACTTGACGGTTATTAGTTAAAACCGTCAAGTATTATAACATACTTGACGGTTACTTTTAAAACCGTCAAGTATTAAATAATACTTGACGGTTTTTCAAAAATAACCGTCAAGTATGTTTATAATACTTGACAGTCACTCTATGGAACCATCAAGTATTACTGAATACTTGACGGTTTTTGGAACCGTCAAGTATAATCTCAAAATAATTGGCGGTTTTTCTCTAGTAACCGTCAAGTATGATTTAAATATTTGACGGTTAACAACCGTCAAATATTTGCTGTTGAAATATATGATGCCAGTATAGTTGACGGTTTTTAACCGTCAAATATGATCCAAAATAACCGTCGAGTATTTTTCATTTTGTAGTAGTGTCTTCCAACACAAAGATGGCCTGCTCCTGCATATGCATATTCCTGTTCTTTGCTGTGAATATACAGATTTTATGATCATATACATGGATCCGCTAACACAATTGTTTTTGTTTTTAATAATAGCTCTTCTCCAGTCCATATCAGGTAATTATATACCATAGTTCAAATTTGAAAAAAAGACGAAATTTGTATTTCATTTACAAGGCTAAAACTGATGAGTCTGATGTCTCTTGGGATTTCATTTGCACGAGTAACTTCAACAAAGTTCACAGTGGTTAACAAATGCAACTACACAGTATAGCCAGGCACTTTTTCCGCAGAGGGCAATCCTCCATTATCAACCACTAGTTTTGTTCTTAAAAAGGGTGACTCTAAGGTCATCTCTGCGCCCACTTCTTGGTCTGGCCACTTTTGGGGTTGAACACAATGCACAAAAGACTCCACCAGACACTTCTCCTGTTTCACCGGTGATGTGGCTCTGGGAAGCTGGAACGCCAAGGCAGTAACGGCACGCAACCTTTGACACCAATAGAATTTTCCGTTTGCCAAACCTAAGGGCTTGATTTTTATGATTTGAACTTGGTAGATGGATTCAATGTGCCTGTGGCGATTGATCCTTTAGGTGGTTGTGGAGACTACAAGAGCACATATTGTCTAGCAGATATGATCTGCCTATGCCCTTCAGAGCTAAGTGTGATCAAAAATGGAAAAGTGGTGGCGTGCAGGGGCCCTCGTGAGGAGGGTAGCTCATCAATACCTTGCTCCAAAAATGCTTCCGAGCCCACCTCCTATTCAACACTATTCAAGAGCGCTTGCCAACGTGCCTATTGTAACACCCAATTTTCTAAATTATTTAAAACACCATGTAAAAAGTAGTTTGATCCTAAGGTCTCAATAATGAAGTTAACACTTACAGACTCGGCCTTTTAACTACTACATCAAATAAACCGAAGCAATAAAACCCATAATATAATTCGAGCATAAATATCCAAGTCTGTAGCCTCAAAGTTTAACATAACATAAACCGTGGAGAAAACTTGAAATAAAACACTAAAGTCCATCAATTCAAAGAATTAACAAAATAATGATTTTGTATTCTAGAGTCATGGCAAATAGTAAAGAATCAAATTAACTCAGCATGTACTTGAGAAGTGTAAGAGCGACTAGCTCATTCTTCTGGTACCTTCCCTTGCTCCCTATAAGGATTGTCACCTAGAAAATGTTAAATAATTAGGGTGAGCACAAACGTCTCAGTAACCCAGAGTTCAACCATGTAGATACAATCATTACCCAAATATTTTTATATTAGCTAGGCAAACAGATATTGCAACAGCTTAAATAATTGTCAGCAAAATATGTAACTAATTTAATGATATACCATGATCATAGGCAATGGATGCTTTCTCCCTTATTACTCCATCCAACCTTATTTTGCTGACTAGAACCATAGGCTTATAAACAGTCTAGCCCACACACTGGATTGACCAAAGCTACTCTAGTACTTAGGATGTATCTGGCCAAAGATACAAAGCCCAAGCCTAGACTATTGCTCCCTTCCTTAAAAGAACCAAGAGGTGTCGTTGTCCCACATTCCCCTTCTACAAACCTGGCCAGGTAAGTATTAAGGAACGGGGCCCTAAAAGGCCAACCACTTTGCACTAAGTGGAGGCAAACCACATGGTCATAATTTGTCACAGATATCAATATCATAAACTCCCAAGTCTAACCGCCTATGCATGTCATGAATATATAACAAATCCAGTATATTTAAGCATGCTTGAAAGAAAACGAATTACCATAAATTTTCATAAAAATAACCAAAATACATTCATGCTTAAAGGAGAATTCAAATAACATAGAAGATAATACAATTTTATTCCTTCACCTTTTTAGTCTTACTTATTTATTTGTATCCATTAAGCTGATAGAGTTATATGTATCTACTACTATTAATACCAATTTAATCATGATGGATAAAGATTGCACACACATAGAAAAACCCCAAGTTACTTGGTTTTCCTCAAGATCACAAGTAGTCAAGCAACAAATCCCAAGCAACAAGGCTCTCAGTGAGGGTCTACAGAAGTCACACACATGTACCAAACTATTAATTAAAAAATTTTGATCCATTAAAAATTTACCCCTACTATTCTAAAATTTTCCTAAGCTGTCTGGGGGCCTTAATGTCAGCCAAAAAAATAGATATAATGACACTCATAAAAATATCATTTTTCATTTAGGTAAATACTATTATTAAATTTATCCTAGCTGCATATTTATAGAACCTTAAAGTTCCTCATAGTGAAAATTTATTCAATTTTTTTATAGCAGATTCTCAAGTTTACAAAATTTTAAATTGTTATAATTTAAATCTAGATTTTACATGTGGGTATATAGATAAGGCTAAGTACATGCGAGTTTTACATCTGTGGAGGCAGCACTGAGCCATTATAAAGGTTCGACATATCCTGATGAAAGAGAAAGCTTGAATCCTAAATTTCAAAAAGGAGCATCAGTTTGGGATAAATAAGTTAACTAAACTCATAACATAACACACACACACACACACACTCATATATATATATATATATATATCTCTCCGTATATGCGCGCGCGCGCACTTAGAAATCTGGAGGCAACTCACCAAGCTTAGAGCTAGGCTGGGTCTATAATTTTGTTTTATATCTACCCCAATTGTTTATAAATCAGTGTGTATATCTCTATACATATAAATATATATACCCACCAATAAAACTTGTCGTTTGCATAAACCAAGAAGAAAGTATGTTTGGTATTATAGACATGCATGTATATTGGATAAGGAGGCTTGAAAAGGGCGCACATGCTCATGGGTGAGAAAAGACAAAATTCAAAAGCCAAGATAGACTTTAAACTATAGGATATACTAACATAAATTAATAGGGAAAAGGACAAAACTCATATATGGAGCCAAACTATAGGAAGAAGATAGGGAGAAAGGGAAGACAATACCTCTGGAGTATGCGAAGAATTGCAGCGGCGTGGTTACTGAAAACAGAGCAGAGGAGGGTCTTCAAAAGTATAATGTAGGGTTTTCACTTATTTTACTTATATATATATATATATATATACCTGTATTCATATAAATCAAATTCAAATCAGATCTTATATATATATATATAGTTTAAAAGTAACCCAATATCCCCTTGTTTTTTGTTTTTAATGTTAAACTCAATTCTTTTTTTTTTAAATATAAATATATGTGTGTATATTTTTAAACTTTATATAACATATTTGAAATTTGAATTTCAATCTATTTCATATTATTATTATTACTATGATTATCATTATCCATAGCCATTTTTTCTATTTATTATTATTTTTAAATATCTATGCACTTATTTACAATCTTGTTTTATTTTATTTGACTCTCTTTTAAATGTCTCATTTTCTTCAATTTATTATTATCTATATATTTTATTTGCTTGATCAATGATTTAATCCAAACTTTCTATAAATAACTACTTATTGTAACATCCCAATTTTTGGGCCTAGAAGTACCAGAAATAGCCTGAATTGGATAGGCTACTAGACCCCTTTTGAGTAGAAGTCCCAAAAATGAAAAAGGAGGTCAAAGCAGTTTCAGGGACTAAACTGCAAAGTAAAAATTTTCAAGGGCTCAAGTATAATCAAGGCTAGAGGCTCCAGTAAAGTATTGAAGGCCCAAAAAGAGGAAAGAGGCTAGATACAGGCCAAGGGTTAAGTTAGAAATCTTAAAGAGAGGATTATATGAAGTTAAGTCCAAGCAGGGACTAAACCGTAAATTCAGAAAGTTATGACCAATAGGAGTAAAAATAGAAGAGTATACAGAGAATTCCAAGAAAATCCCAAAAAAATTGAAAATAATATTCTAAGACTTTTGTGTGAAGAGAAAAGACGAAAATACCCCTGAGGCAGTTTAAATGGAATTTATAAGGTTATGGCTGGTAAAAAGTACATGGTTCGAGGTAATTATTTGAAATAGTAAGAGACCTCAAAAATGCATACAAAAATGAGTTTAAATGATTGAAAGGTTGTACTAATTTATAAAACTAGTCCCACAACCAAAAGGCCAGTGGAATGGCTTTAATAAATTAAAAAATCTGATTATGCCGATAAAAAGGTATTTTAGTAAATGAATTTTTATACAAGGCTTAAAGGA